GAGTGGCTCAGTTGGTTAAGAGCTCGCTCAAGAGTTTGAGCTCTGAGCAACAGCGGTTCGAGTCTGGCCCGAGCTGAGCAGCCACTGAGCTGCCAACAGGTAGCAGGATGGCTCAGCTAAAAAAAAAAAAAAAACTATTGAAAATGTTCCATGAAAAACAAGGAGCAAGCTCAGTTCACAGCTCACTTTGCACAAATGCTTTCCATAGTGATAATCATTCTTCAGTATGCAGCTCTGAGTACTTCCCATGTCATCACACAGAATGTTAAAAAGATGTGAACTCTAGGACTTGGATTTAATCAAATGAAGGATTTTCAGTGAGTTCTCAAGGATATTCTTAAGTAACACTGGCTCTTTCTCCCGTACTGTATGTGGCAGAGAGGATACAATGACTACTGGTATAGCTTGGTGCCAGGGCCTTGATTCCTGCTCTTGCATTAGTAGTTGTCCTCATAATTGCTTTTGCATCATGGGTGCAAATGTCAAGACAGTAAAAAAACAAAGAAACAAACAAAAACTTCTCTGTGTGTAGTAACCCTTCCTTGTAACCAAAGAAGGGAGCATCATGGCCTATCACAACACTTGACACAAAAGATAAACAAAAATGATATGATGGAGCTGGAAATTCCACTGGGCATATCTATAAATATCCACAAAGTAACTTTGCTTTTAGTGGGTAAGCATCTTGTCTCCTCCAGGCTTAGAGAGCATCTCAGAAGACTTACAGTAGGAGAGTAAATAAAGGGATCTGATTGGAAGCAGAAACAGGGGGTAAAGGACAGTGGAAAAGGTAAAGTTTATGACCGAAATATGGAGACTGTCAAAAAAAAAAAAAAAAAAATTACTCTTTTAATTATTGTGCTAGAGGTGCACCTCAAACTGAAGAAATTAGAAAAGAAACATCCCAGAGTGCAAGACACAGTGAGGTGGGGGAATAATACTGGTCCTTCACCACACACAGACTGAGAAGCACCAGTCCAGGAGAGCTGGAGAATAATTAACTAGGAAAACGNCACACATGGAAATTAATCTTGTTCTTTCATTGAATCAGATCTTTTCTCTTTCCCTCCTATTATCACTCTTCTTTGTCAAGATCATAGTCACTCTTTTTTTTTTTTTTCATGTTGTGGAGGTTGAGAGTAAAATGGTTTTATAGCCCTACCAAATCAGAACGATATCGACTATCTGATAAACCATCAATAAGCAAATGTATTATTTGGGGATGGAGAGATTTATACACCGTAACAGTTTGAGGAATAAAGCAGTAATAATATATGATAAAGTTAAGTTTGGTTTTTTTACTTACAGGGACAGAAAGTTTACCTAGAACTAGAACTAATTGCATTCTGTCTGCCTCTCCAGACCTATTCTCCGACCTTCTCTCTCCTGTGTGTTTCAGGAAGCAAACCTCTACAGAACACATCAAGAGCAATCTTTTCCTCTGGCTTCAAGTTAGGTTCGGCCAGTGGGTAGCAATGGCGAGAAATCGGAAAGCAGAAGTGAGCAGAGTGTTTCTTATCCCTTGCTTCCTCCTTGCCGGCCATCTTTGTTTTGGTAGAGGCGGTGTTCTGTAGTGTACAGCCGCAGCAACTGTCATGCAGCTCTCTCAAGCAGCTACAGTTCTCTGGGTTCCAGAAGCATCACTCAGTTCTCTTGCCCCGAAGGTCTAGGGTGATAACTGCTTTCTGCCGTTGCTAGTTCATGGATGCTTCACCACCCTTAGGTGGGTGCCTTAGACAGCCTACGCCTCTGTAAGTAGTCCCTTCCTTAAATCTCTTCCAGTTAATCCACTGACTGTCCCATTTGTTACCTGCCAGGAGCTAGACTGACACAATTTCCAGTAGCCCCTCAGGGCGATTTTCAGGGCCAGGTCTACACAATCCAATCCATTCTCATTCCAAATTATTCAACTCAATACATCTTTCACTGTTCCTTAATGAAAATCCAGCCCTATCTTGTTGAAGAATTCACTTCTTCATGACCATCGCACATCATTATGACATTAGCAGCCCTTTAGACTTAATTATCATTTATCATTCATAAAGCCTCGATTTTCATAAACGTGACTTTCAAAATGCAAAATAAAAACTAGATTATTTCAGGAATTGTCAGAAAGGGAAGTCGCTTTTCTCGGTAATCTCCATCTCACCTCCTTCTCCTTGTTGAGCAACACCAGCTGGCTGTCTGTGAGGATGCAATACTTCCGCTCCCATGTTGTCGTCTCAGTGTAGGGTGACTGGCCACAAGACAGGCGGTGGGTAGGTGGCCCTTTCACATCTGTGTGACACATACGAAAAACAAAAGCGACAAATCATCATCCTGCTTAGTAAACCAGTGTTTCAAATGTAAGATTCTTCAAAACTTAATTAAATAAGGAGATAAATCTAAACATGAATCGCAATGGTAAATGGAAAACTCTTAAGAAAATAAAAATTGGTATATACAGAAATAAAAATTGGCCTATAGTCTGCAAAAAAGAGGGCTGAAAAAGAGAGCTATGAAGAATTGTTAGCACAAACTTGACACAGTAATCACTGCTGTATATACACAAAAATAATGCGATGTCTCTTCAGAGCAAAACCAGTATCATTCAAAATAAAGACAAGAACAAAAGACAGAGCCCCCACTCCTTAGGACAATGATGTTGCTTGCAAACTTGGAGAGTGTTGCTGACCCAAAACTCAGGTAGCGAAGTTACTGGCAGCCTGTGCCTTCAAAATGGCTGTATTTCTAGTCACTCATAAGAATTAGAAATGTTTAAACTATAGCATATTACCACTAGAGGCCAGTAATATCTTAAAATCATGGGACGCAATTTCCTCAAAGAAAGATCTACATGTATTACCATCATGTCTCTTAGAGATCGAGGTATACAGTGTCAAAGCTAAATGTCTCAGCTCCTCTAAATGCCTCATTCCCTATAAAATACCAACTGCTTACTATTACCTTGTCATTTTAAAATTTATTGATATAAAATGTTAACTCATTGTGGTTGTCGTAAAACTTAAGAACATATCTTAATCATAAGTACACATTAGATCCATGAAATAAGACTTTTATGATGATTCAATGTATATTAAAAGTTCTTTAGGTGCGAAGGACTAATTACTCTCAGGAATATACTTGCAGGGTTCACTTAAAATGCATTAGTTATTACTCTTTTAATTATTGTGCTAGAGGTGCACCTCAAACTGAAGAAATTAGAAAAGAAACATCCCAGAGTGCAAGAGAGTTGTAAATCATAAATAAGCACATTTTATCTAGAGGATGAGTGTTTTCATTACTATTACTTTCTGTAGACTTTCAGTCTTTTTATCACAGGAGGATAGGTATTCCTGGTATGGACTGGCTTTAAGGAAATTAAAATGATTTCCTAGATGTTCTGTACTATAATTACCCAAATATGCATAACTATAGCCCGAGTCCTATAGAAAGTAAACAACAAGCCAATAATTAGGGTAGTTAGTTGTACGGTGACCTTACATTCCCTCGTGTGTCTATTATTATCCTCAATACTCCTTAGGGCTCAACTTCCTTTGCTGTCTAAAAATCTGTCTAAACTTGCTGCTCTGCATGTTTTGAGGAGCTTATCAACTACCCTCCAGAATAACTCAAAGTCCAAAAACCAATAATGTTCCTAGGGCTTGGCTGGACATGTTACTCATTCTTAGAAGTTGACTGTTTTTCCTTTTCCCCCAAATTTTTTTGCTTCTGTTTCCTCTGCACCACGCACAGCAGCACATGCGACACCTACAGCTTCTCCATTCAAAACCAACTCTCGCACTCCCACCCTCAGCTCTCCCCTTGTATTCTAAGTATCTTAAATTATTTTAAAGTTGTTTTTTTAATACTTCAGAATTTCCTAAAATTATCATAAAAAGCTTTAAAGGAAACTATTCTTAATCCTTTGTGACACTCTACGAGATTCTTGCCTATACTTAAAAGCCATGTCAAAGCTGATTTTCTTCACATAATTTGGACAAAAAACTGGGTTAGATTTTTACCACAGAGTAGGTCTATTTTTAGAGCAAATAGCAAGACTAACTCAACAGAGGGGACACACCTACTTTATGTGGAAATGCGGTGGCTTTGTGGCCTAGACAAGTTTTCATTCAAATGACTAACCTTCTTATGTAAGTTAGCCATGGGTGACTTAAACTGCCCACTGTAATTTAATTTGAACAGTAATCTTATGATCTATACTAAGCAAGAAGACACTGACAGACTCTGTACATAAAAATTAGAATTTAGGATACTGTATTTATAGCATCACCCAGATTTCCCGGCAAAATATAAATCTGTATCAGACTGACTTTCCCTGTGTCATCCTGAGTAATTCTCCTCAAGTCTCACTATCTCACATTCTCCCTTTCTCCAACCTGAGCTTTGTTCCCGGTTTCTTCATGGTACTGTGAAAAAAAGACAATGTCTCATATAGCATTTGGGGACCCGGAACGACTCCCCAGCACTAAAGGTAGAAAGAAATGGGGAGAAATATTTCTGTATTTTAAAAATTTCTGTGTAAATGATGAGATTGACTGGCCATGTTATAAATTTTATAGTTTCACTTTTTTTTTCTTTTTACTATCTAATGCTCACTTTTTGATAATTTTATGACAATGCATACCAAGGAAGAAAACAAGAAGGAAGTTAGAATAAGTGCCTTTTTTGGTTCTTTTTATCACTTCTGGATTAAGGTTTAAAAGGCATTTTAAATAACAAGATAAAATAAGATGGAAAATAACCAATAGATTTAATTTATTCATCCTATCACATCATTTCCATGGCTAAATAAAGGTTTAATAGTACATTTGTCCCGCCCTTTGTCACGCCCATATACTACGACTGTATTGACAGGACAAGCTGAGATTAATGCCCTATTTCACTTTACCAATTCTATCAATCTCTCTCTCTCTCTTTTTTTTTTTTGCTCTAGTGACATACTTCTAATTTCTGACTTCCAATTATATTTAGTGTGTAGAATTCACTAGGGAAAAGGATAACTAACTTAGAATTATAAATTAGAATCTTAATAGCAAACCTGGGAAAAAATTAGCTTTGTACTGTCCCATTCCTATAAGGTTACGAAGGACACTGAATGCTGGCCTTATTACAAAAATTGAATAATTTAAGAAACATTTAAAAAGAATCAGAGATGACTCAATGGATCCCTTTGAAAAGCACTGCTCTCAGACTGCATATTATCACACAGACTAGTAAGTCTCAAAATTTTTTGATTTCAGGATCCCTTTAGACTCTTAAAATTATTGAGGACTTCAAAGAGTTTTTGTTTATGTGGATTATATTCACCAATATATACCATATTGGGTATTAAAACTGAGAGATTTCAAAAATATTTATTCATTTAATGATAACAACAAACCTGTTGCATGTTAATATAAATAACACATTTTTTAATGAGATGTAAGTTTTCAAAAAAAATTAAGTGAGAGGAGTGATACTCTTTTAAGTTTTGCAAATCTCTTTAAAGTCTGGCTGAATAGAAGACAGCTGGGTTCTTACGTCTGTTTCAACATTCAATCTATTGCTTTATGTAGTTTTTGGTTGAAGTATATGGAGAAAATCTGAACTCACACAGATATGTAGTTGGAAAAAGAAAGGGTATTTTAATAGCATTTTTGGATAATTTTTTTAATACTATGCCAAAACCTGACAAGCAGCTGCTTCTTAAAAGTGAGTAAAATGTGGAATCTGACATCACATCAATGAAATTTTCGTGCTCTTGAACTAAAAATCATCGGTCTACCTTGCCCTTTGAATGGATCTTTTACCTATATGCATGAGTTTGTAGCATTATGCAATGATTATTTAAAAAATACTGGTTTTGCAGATCTTCTAAATGTTGATACTTTTCATTATATAATATCAAAAATCACATTGATTAACCTTCAAAAAAGTATTGATCTCATCAGTAAAGTCTTTAAGTACTGAGAAGTGGTCAAGCTCAAGGTGGCAGATTCGAGCTTTCAAAAAATACTCCTTTTCATTTTTAGTCTTGACTTTTATTGTTGGCCATGAATACTGTTGATTTTTTCCCCTTAAGAGACAAGTTTATGTTTTTCTTTTTCCAGAAAATGTCTACCAAATAACCAAGATTGAATAACTATAGCTTGTCTTTCCATTGTTCTTTCAAGTAAAAATGTTCCATGAAAGGGCCGGCCGAGTGGCTCAGTTGGTTAAGAGCTCGCTCAAGAGTTTGAGCTCTGAGCAACAGCGGTTCGAGTCTGGCCCGAGCTGAGCAGC